CCGGGACGGAAAATGGACAAGAGACCGAGAGACGGATTCAAACAAAACCAGCCGAGATACACAGGGACCCAGAGTCAGAAAGACAAGGGCAGGAAAGATGCATTTCCAGAGTCGGAGGGGAGAGAGACAGAGAGAGAGATGAGGAGACACAGGAGGCCTCAGGGACAAAGGGACGTGGAGTCACAGAGACAGGAGAGAAGGATGCGCTGGCGATGGGCACCGGAGCCAGTTCTCAGGGGAGAAGGGCGGGGGTCCGGCAGACAGAGGCCTCGGAGGAGGGAGCGCTGGAGGCAGCCGAGGGAGGGGAGAGAAGGCACCAGAAAGATCAGAGAGACGCAAAGAGGAAGGTGGGATTGTAGAGAGGGCGGAGGAGGAAGAGGCGAGGGAGGAGGATGAGACAGTCAGAGGGTCGAGGCCATGGGGTCAGGGAGCCTCCCTCTTGGAGACCCCGTGTCCAGGGCCCAGGGGTCTGGCGGTGGGGGGGCAGGAGGGCCAAGGCCAGGGGGGTGGACTCCCTGGGCCTCGCAGCCCAGCACCCTCCATTTCCGCCCACTCAGCAGGCCCCGGGAGCAAGTCGTTTGCATAAAACAATATTCCCGTGGGGGATGCTAATGCGCCCTGCTATTTTTGCCTCTCCTGGATTGTGGTTTGCATACATTTGCATACCCTGGGAGAATTAAGCTGGGATCATGTAAATGAGCCCACCAGCTCGGGGTGAGGGGGCCTCCCAGCTCCCTGCCTCCAGTGCCCTGAGCAGGCTCGCTTGAGCTGTGCCCCCCTCACTCACCGTCTTGAAGCCACTGTCCACCCAGGCTTCGGGGAGCCACGGGAAGCTTTCCAAAACCCAGATCTGAGCATCACCTCCTTCTTTTAGATCGTTGGTGGCTCTTGAGGTCTTAGAACAAAAGGCCAAAACCCCATGGGGCCTCAAGGGCTTGTCCCTGCCAGCACCCCCCCAACCCAGGCTGCTCCTCCCTCCTGACCCACAGACCTTCCTCCTCTCAGGAGTTGTCCTGACCAGGGTTCTGCCCACCACAGGGCCTTTGCACCTGCTATTCCCACCGGCTGCAATGCTCTCCCTCCCCCTCCCCACTTACTGACATCTCATTCATCCTGCACACTCAGCTGGAGCACTGACTTGCCTCATCGCCCTTCCCCATCACACATTCTCACCCCCACAGACCAACCCCTGGGTGGCTGGAATTATGATTTGATGCAGTACCTTAGCTCACGCCTGTCTCCTCCATGAGAACGTGAGAGCCGCGAGTGCAGCGACCCTGTCTTTTTTAATCACTGCCCTCCACCTCTGACCAACACCTAGAGGCGCTGGTTACCTAAAAGTTCCCAATTAATATTTGTTGAATGAATGAATGGGGCAGACCCACAAATTCATTTCCTAGCCTGACGTCTTCAGCGGCCCAGCCCTAAACTCAGGTGGTAACCAAGACTTTTAAAAACCACCTATGGGGGCGCCTGGGTGGCTTAGTCGGTTAAGCGTCCGACTTTCGCTTAGGTCATGATCTCGCGGTAGTGGGTTCGAGCCCCGCATCGGGCTCTGTGCTGACTGCCAGCTCAGAGCCTGGAGCCTATTTCGGAGTCTGTGTCTCCCTCTCTCTCTGACCCTCCCCTCTTCACGCTGTCTCTCTCTCTCTCTCTCTCTCTCTCCTAGAAATAAATAAATATATTTAAAAAAAAAAAACCACCTATGAGTGGAGCTCCTACTGTGCGCCAGGCACTGGGTGAAATATTCTACATGTACTCGCTCAGTGACTTCCTAGCAACAGCACCTGGGAGAGACGGAGATTAAACCCCTGTTATTGATGAGGAAACAAAGCTCAGAGGGGGAAAGCCAGGGGCTGAGGTCACACAGCAAGCATGTGGCGGAACTGGGGGTTCTAACTCGGGTCTGTGCGGCCCCAGAGCCTCCAGCCCCCCTTCTGCCCATCTTCTATGGGCCCTCTGGGTGATAGCACCCAGCTCACACCTAAGCAGAAAGTACTTCCCTTGGCCTCATGGGAGGGAGGGCTGTGCAGAGATCCATCCAGAAGCAGGTGTGAATTCACGCAAGAATGAGAGCTCACCAGGGTGCGTGTGCCAGCGTGGCGTGGCCACTCGCATCTCAAACCCACATGTGTGTCTGTGCCACACGCGTGCGTGTGCAGACAACCACCCAGTCAACAGACGCTTTGTGCAACCTGGTGTGCGAGGCACAGGGCCGGGAGCTGGGGTGTGCTGAGGGCTCCCCGGGGCTCCTTACCTGCCCCACATACATCTGAATGTGCATTCACACGCGCACCTGTCTGCTCGGGCACAAGGGCGGCAAGCCCACAGGCTGTGGGTGCATGGCAGTAAACTGAGGCACCCATGGGGCACGTGGACCCCCCTACACACAGGGGCCACCCTGGGGCACAGGTAGCTCTAGCGCCCTCGGAGTTCAAGGAGGAAACGCAGAGGCAAGTGACTTGCCCAGGGTCACTCAGTCACTGCCAAAGCCTGAGATGGACCAACGAAGGGCAACCCGTGGCTGAAACCCATGGACTTGAACTCAAGCAGGCCTGGGCTCCGAGGGCTCCCGCACTTACGTGGGGTTGGGGACGGGCCACTCTTGCCCTAAAGTCCTAAGTCTCCCCTTATGCAAAATGGGGACAGTAGAGAATTTCTTCTTCAAAGGGTCCCAGACAGGCATCCATTATTATTATCCCACTTTGTTATTCAGCTCTCAGGACTCCGGGTCCAGTGCTCTTTGAGCACCCCGACCTGCCCACACCGCCTCCTCCTCCTGAGGGTGGTGTCCTGTGGGCCCCCACAGGGAGTGAACACGTGTTGAACTCTCTGACCACTGAGCAACACTTGGCCTGGAAACGGAGTGCCCTCCCCCCAGAACTTTCTACCCTGACGTCAAGCATCCCTCTTGCTCAAGAAACCAATTCTTGTTAAGTTATTCAGAGACGTTCATCTGCCAAGGCTGGGAATTTCAGAGGGGCCGGGGTGGCCCACGTGCGGGCATCTGGGGCTGAGGGACGGGAAGGGAAGGGTGTGGATGGCCGGGCTGCAGGCCGGGAGGGGGCTGGGAGGTCATGGTCAGGCAATGCGTCCGGGTACCCCCAGCAGAAGCCAAAGTATTGTGGGAAATGGACAAAATGACCTTCCCTACCTCAATCCTCTCTTATGGGGGGAGGGGAGCAGTCCACTCCTTCCCAACATCCGCCCGACAGCCTGCCCTGAGGCCGAGTGCTAGAGGGACACGGAGCTGGTGTCAGATCCCTGACTCAGGCTGCCCCGTGGGTCACATTCGGGTGGGAACAGGGAAACCCTTCACCGCGAGGTTGACAGATGGAAATCTGCTGCCTGAGCCTCTGGGGGGGAGGCACCCCGGGCGGGAGGGGAACCCCCGGGTCCAGCCCATGCAGGAGGGGCTGGGAGCCCCCTGCTTGTCGGGAGAGACCCCACCACCGCCCGTCAGGAGCAGAGATCTTCCCGGAAGACAGAGACGCCATCCTTGCTGAAGGGTGAAATCGCCACCTCATAGTCGTGGCTCCACATATCAGGAGCCCTGATATATTAACCGACAGAAAACCAAGGGTTTTCTGTAGAATGGCAGAAAGGGTCCCAGCCCCACCCCGTGCCTCCAGGCCCCTATCAGAGATCCAAGGAGACAGGAATGCCACCTGTGCCCTGGACACACCGGGGTTCCAATCCCAGCTCCGCACTTGCAGTCCGAATGCCCCTCAGGCCCTCAGAGGCTCACTTTCCTCATCTGAGAAATGGGGATGGTACTCGGACTAACTTCGTTCACAAGGCTGTGGCAAGGGATCAATGAAACCGTATAAGAGACACATCAGACACACAGGAAGTGCTCAATAAATGTGTCTTCTTTATTATGACAATTTTTGTGAAGCCCAGGGTTTCTACCAAATTCACCGCCATCTCCCGGTGTGACCTTGGGCAAGTTCTTACCCTGCTTGGGGCCTCAGTTTTCCCCCTTGAAAGGCCCAGATGATTTTCTGGGGCCCTTGCTGCTTTACCATTTTAGGTCACAAGTTCTGTCTCTTGAACTCTGAGTCTCTCTGCAGCCACGACTGGATTCACCCATTTCCCGGGAACATCAGCCGGAAAGTCATGAGGACAACCTGAAATACGGCTCCCAAATCAGACGGGGTCCCTGCGGATCCTCCGTGAAATCCCCCTCCTGCCCTGCCCAGGACACCCCCACACCGAAACTGACAGTACTATGCACCCGCCACTGCTCTACCCACACCCCAGGAAACAGGCACAGAGAGGTGCAGCAAGCTGTCCAGGGTCACACAGCTCACAAGTGGCCCAGCCGGGATTTGAACCCAGGCTATCCGGGGCTCAACTTCAACACCCCCTCACCCCCATCCCAAAGATACAACAAATGGCGGAATATTATGCACATAACAATCTGGCACCAGGTGACTTTTGGGTGAACTGAGACTTCCAGGGACAAAGAGACTGCCCTTCCTTGGCGGGTGCCCGGGGCTGGCCTCGTGGATCAGCTGCTCGGCCCCGGGGAGGCCAGCCCACCCCCTTCCAGCCTGTTGGTTTAAAGAAGATATTTAATTATGTCTGCCGCAGTGCTCGCACGTGCTCTGATGAGCTGAGAAGGGAGAATAAGGAGCCCACGTCACCTCCTGTCGGAGATAATTAGAGGTAACATCACTTTTAAGGAAACAAGCCTGTGGCCAATTGTTCAAGATTGATTAAGTTGGTGGCCCGCCCGAGCAAGTGGGGGAGAGGACAGCAGTGTGCCCCGATCGCACTGCCTGCACTCTGCCGGGGTGACCTCCCCCCACTGGGGGCCATCAGCCAGGCTGGGAGGCCAGGGCACATGATTGGCAAGCCCACAGCTGACATCCACCCTCCTATGGGGGCTGCAGCGAGCTGCTTTATAATGGGAATTTGGGGATGGACGCGTGGTTAAGACCACTTGGTCCCTCAAGGCAGGACAGAGGCAGGGTTCGGGCCTTGCTAGAGGAGAGGCTTTGTTTACTGGGCATCTGCCATCCACCATGAAGATACAGCCTGAAAGGGTGTTCCAGGAAGCAAAGGCCATGTGTGCAAAGGTCCTGGGGCAGGGGCAGGGCTGGCAGACAGAGGCTATGCCAAAAATTCATCCATAACGAACTGCAGGCATGTCTCCAGCACTTGCTCTGTGCCAGTGCTCGGGCTGCTTCTGACCTGTGAGGAAGACAGAGATGAATCACAGATCATAGATGAAGAGTCTGAAGGTCAGAGAGGCAAAGTCACTGCCAAGGTCCCATTGGTAATAAATACGTGACAGAGCTGGGTCCCGTGTCTAGCACGACTGTCTCACGAGCCCAAATCCACCTGCCGCAAACCATAGCTTCCCAGCAGGTCAGGTGAACTTGCAAGGCTCTCGGATTCGCCCTGTTCGTTGTACCTAATGGGAAACTGAGCCCCAAGGGGCAGGCAAAGCACACAGAAGCATGCTGGGAATCCGGGGACAAATGCATCCTCGGGTGGGACCCCGAGGAGCCATTTTGAGACACGCACGATGAGCAGAAGCCACAGGGAGGAACGGCTAAGGTAGAGCCAACATGCTGGTTTTCTCTGAGTTAGTGGGCACTACCCTGTTGTGTGGCATCTGCCACCCCAGAGCTATGCCAACACAGCTTCGGTACACACACTCTCTGGGATGCCCTTTGAAAACCCATGGTTCCCGTCCCTTGAGTTTGTAAAATGCTGTCTCCTGAACCCCCTTTGGAAAGTCACAGTGCATCTAAAGGCTCTGATAAGTCCTGCCGCAAAGAAACCTGCCCAGAACTTTAAATCCCTGGGAGACTCCCAAGGTGTGTGTGGGGATTTCCTCTCTACTTCCAGAAAACAGAGTTAGGACCCATAAAGTGGACGCTCATGTGGGAAAGGAGTTGGCACTTTTCAATGGAGACCGGCTGTCCTGGTAAGGAGTGAGTTCCCCATCACCAGAAGTATGCAAGTAGGCTCTGGAAGACTACCGGATGAAGATTGCTGAAGAACAGATTTCCTCTACAAGTGCAGAGTTTCCAGGGCAAAGAAATACAACCCAGGCCCCGGCCAGGCTCCCTTCCCCTCCTCTCTCAAGACCGGGCAGAGAGAAACCAGGCATGTCACATCCATCTGACATTAGGAAAATTCTTATAAATAAAATAGTTCCTATAAAAGCTGTATGAGCTCTCTCCAGTCCATCTCATCTCGACAGTAATAAAACCAAGCCCGTAACTCCAGCGTCGCCTTGCCATCTACAAGAGGAAACGCTTATTTTAAGAAGTATAAAAAGAAAAGTAATTTACAGTCTATTAACATTTTAAAAAGTGTGTTAGCAAGAAGGGGAATACATTACTGGCTCGATGAGGGGATCCAGAGAGACGAGGAAAGTGGAATCATATAAATTTCCCCAAGTCTCCATTTTAACCTGGAGAAATGCAGACTCATCCTGAATCTTCCAGCAGCCTCACCTTCCCCAGGAAGAGGGTGTGGTGGAGACAGGGAGGCCGGGAGGGGTGCAGGGTGGTGGGGAGCGAGCGGGACCGGGCCTGGGTTTGCGAGTCCCATCTCGGTTCCTGCTCTGCCTTGGGTTCCTGCTCGCTCCGGAAGCTTCCTGACTTCGGGGAGCCTCAGGCAAGTGGTCCACTCAGTGGTCCTAATAAATCCCAGGGTCCTCTGGTTTCTTATACGATATAAAAGTCTTAGCTTTCAGGCAAGACTTGGGAGGGTGGCTGGAGGGGCGGGTGGTGACCCCTTGGGGCGCCTCCGGAGGTCCCCCCAGCCTCGCCCCTCGCCCAGTGGATGGGCCCCTCCGTGTGTGAACTGAGTGGGGCCCTGGGCTGGGGCTGCGGGGGGCGGGGACATCAGACCTTCACTTGCCGGGACAACACAAATGAGTCCTTTCTTCTTTCAGACACGCGCACACACATACACACACACACACACACACGCCAACACCAACTCACACGCATACTTTACCCACACGTGGAAAACAGTCAGCCCCACGCGTGCGTACCCCATACATTCCGCACACACACCTTGCACATCTCATGCGGCCACCGTCACCCCCCACGCGCACACGCACAGCCCGACTTCCACCCGGGCCGCACCACCGCGCACCCATCCTTACACCCGTGTGCAAACGTGCCGTGCCTCGTGGTGTTCCCACGTGTGCCGCACACGTGTGCAGGCGCCACGCACACGCCCGCACGCGCACACCGCTGCCGTTCACCGTCACACTCGGGTGCCCGGGTTCCGCGGGGGGGCCCACACCTGACACGCGGTGCACACACGCGCCCGCCGGACGGGCCCACGCACACGCGCTCCCAGCAGCTTCGCCCCTGCAGGGCCGCGCGCACGTGTTCCCCCGGGACAGTGTCTGCGGGCGCAGGCGTGGGGCGAGGGGCTGCTGGACGGACGGCCTCTCGCATCCCGGCCGCCTCCCGGCCCCGGCCTGTGTTTGTACAGCTGGTGCCTCTCCCACAAGTGCGGGGGGCGGGGGGTGCAGGAAGAGGGACGTCGGGTGGGGGGGGGGCGCCAGCCCTAATCAAGAATTTCACACCCCCAGTGCGCCCGGGCTCCTCTGCAGAGCCCCCACGCCCAGCTGGGCAAAAGCCCAAGGCTGGCTTTGTTCGCAGGCTGCTGGGGCGGCAGGGGCCCCCCTCCAGGAGGGCCCCCTCCCAGGGCTCCAAACTCACCCTTGGCCTGAGTCCCGCTCCCCTCCCCCCAGCTGGGTGCCTGGCCAAGGGCCAGCAGGCACCAAACGGGCCTTAGCCCTCGGCCCATTGCCCTGTCCCAGACCTTATCAGTTAGGGGCGGGGCTGCGGATCCCCGACTCGGCCACCAGCAGGCAGGGGCTCCCGGAGGGTTGTAAGATTGGAATCCGGAGGGGCTCACTGTCAGAGCTCCCCTGGCTCTGGCCCAGCGTCGTCAAGAACAGCCCCCAGCGCCGCCTCTGGCCAGGCTGATTCCACCCCCCCCCCCCCCCCCCCCCCCCCCCCCCCCCCCCCCCCCCCCCCCCCCCCCCCATCTCTAAGGCCTTCCTCTCTTAGCACAGATGACTGGTCCCCACCACCTTTCAAACCAATTCAAATGCTGCCACCTCCTCCAGGAAGTCCTCCCTGACTCCCTCACTGCCTCCCCAGGGTGAAGTGGCAGCCCTTTCTGTGCCCACCACTGCCCCCATCCCAGCTACCTGCCCTTCCCTCGTCTTACCCCTCTGGCCCCGTGCCGTCGACTTCTTGCTTTACTTATCTGTGTCCTGGACCAGGAGATGCCCAGGGCAGGGGCGGGGGCTTCCATCACTACCACAAGCCCCCAGAGTAGCAGGAGCCCTGGCACTCAGTATAGATGTTGGTGGGAGGAAGGAACATTACCCGGCGGACGGGTATGATGAAGTTCTGCGTTGCTGCCTCACATCCGCCGGCCTTGTGGGATGAATTAGGTCCCCGATCTTAATTTAAGAGTTAAATAATGCCACACATATATTACAAAAGTTAGGTAAATTTCCCCTTCCCTCCTGTCATTGCCTAGAAAGCTGCCAACTTCTAGATTGTAATTATGTACATGAATAATGAAATTAGCATATCTATCAGCTCACTCCCTGCTCATTACGCTTCCCTGGAAGAGCCCTGTGTTCCGATTCCGGATCACCCACCTCTGGAGGCGGATCACCCACCTCTGGAGGCTGGCTGGGCTCCGGGCTCTGGAACGGCTCCTGGGGGCGGGGGTGTGCATCTGCAGCCTGGGGCTTCTGGGAGCCCCCAGACCCTCCTGGGTGGGATGTTCTTGTCTGATCAGCCTTTACTGCATCTAATGGGTGGGTGGGGACCATCAGTATTATGAACCATGGGCTGTGGGATGCTAGTTGGAGGCGGAGGACCTGGGTCCCGGGTCTGCTCCACATCGCTGCCGACCTGCGGATGGGCCTCCCCGGGGCCTCTTCTCCCACCCGTGATGTGGGGACGGCAGTGGATGTCTCATCCATCCAGGACTATGTGAACAGGACATGCTCGGAAAAGCAGTGTCTGGATGCAAATGCGCTTGGCTCACGTTCTCACCTGCTACATGACTTCTCTCTGACCCTCAGTTTCTCCTTCTGTAGAATGGGAATAATAAGGCAAGCATCAGGATCCGATGCTATTCCATTGTGCCCAGCACACAATAAGCGCTCAGTGAACGTAAGTCACTGTGGCTGTCATTGTCGGGATGGGTGTTCAGTGAGTTCACGGTGTCATGTACTAAATGTGTGTGTCCGCCCCAAACATACGACGAAAGCCCACCCCCCCCACCCCCACCCCAGCGTGATGGTATCAAGAGGTTAGGATTCCTGTCCTCACAGGGTCAGGAGAGGGCGTGCTTCCTCACTTGGCTCTCTGCCACATGGGGAAACAAGAAAGTGGCGTCCACAACCCGGGAGAGAGATCTCACCAGAACCTGACTGCTGGCGCCCTGACCTCAGACTTGCGGCTTCTGGAGCCGTGAGAAAGGCATTTCCGCCGCTCAGCCGCCCGGTCCGCGGATTCGGTACAGCGGCCCAGGCTGGTGCAGACACCCCTCCCGTACAAGCTGTCACAAAATGGGACCAGGACTAAAACCGCGAAGCCAGTACTCGGGTCTGCCTCGCCTCTCTCCTGGGGGTCCCCAGCCCCTGGCTCTCCCGGGATTCTGCAAGAATGTCAGGTCCGGGCTCTCTCCGCCCAGCTTCACCCAAACTGCCCTCCGCGTGGGCAGGTGATCGGGGAGAGACGCCCCGGTGCCTCTCGCTGGGCGCTCCTTCCCTCGCTCCCTTGTCCCAGGCTCGCTGTGGGGAATGTCAGAGGCAACGGGGAGCCAGCCCAGGCTTGAGAGCAGGAGAGGGCTGGAGTCGCAGGCTGGCCTTGCCAGCTATCAGTGTCAGGTTGCTCTGGGGACCTTTGTCCAAACTCCTCTGAGCCCACGGAGAAGGACTCAGGGCCACAGCTGGTGCCACTGTCGCCTTTCTGACTGGGACTGCGGGCCGGCTGGCCTGTCCCCAAGCCCACTAGAGCCTGAACTGGCTGGCACACTTGCCCCTGGGGAGACCAAGATGGTCAAGACATCCTCCTTGGTATTCACCATCTAAAGCTTTGCCACCGTGAGTGGAGGTTTTTTGTTTGTTTTGTTTTGGGTTTTTTTTTGTTTTGTTTTCTTTTTTGTTTGTTTTGTCCACAACTCTAAGCTGGGCCACGCTGTTGCTTATTTTGCAGACTGGAGACGGGAAAGGAGGGCAATGCCGGGATCATGGCTGGGGGGGGGGGGGCGTCCACCGAAGCCTGAGACCCATGAGGCTGGGCCTCATCGAAGGAGAAGCTACACATTTCTTATATTCTTTTTTTTTTTTTTTAATTTATTTCAAGGAGAGAGAGAGGGAGAGACAGCGTGAGCAGGGGAGGGTCAGAGAGAGAGGGAGTCACAGACTGAAACAGGCTCCAGGCTCTGAGCCGGCAGTCAGCACAGAGCCCGACGCGGGGCTCGAACCCACGAACCGCGAGATCATGACCTAAGCGAAAGTCGGACGCTCAACCGACTAAGCCACCCAGGCGCCCCACACATTTCTTATATTCTGACCACCTCCTTCCTACCCTCAGTTCTCCACGGCCCCTGCAGGCCACACGCCATGTCAGGAGGTGCATGTTGGTAATAATAAGGTTGTAATAAGAGGGGCCAATGAACTGAAAGCCACTCCATGCACGTGTCCCCCCCATTTAAGCCTCGTAATGCGCATAGCACGGGGGCCGGTGCATAGGGGAGCGCATGGGAATGCAGTGAGTAAACAAAAAGCAAAAGCAACAATCTTGACCTTAGCCCCCCGCCGGGAGTGGGACAGATCCGCAATCGCATCCCTCGCTCGGCCACGTATTAACAACGTGCCCTCACCAGGCCGCATCCCTTCTCTGAGACTTGAGTCTTCCCATCTGTGAGGTGGGCACGATGCTGTCTGCCCAGCAGGCTGACGTGAGAACTCCACGCAGCTCCGTCTGTGAAGTGCTTGGTGCACAGCGCCGTGTCCGCCCGGAGTGCGGACAGAAGGTTTCTGTTGCTGCTGTTCTCGGAGGGACCACTGTTTCCAGCCGTCCACTCGGCGTGCAGTCGTGGGTTCGGAAACGGGAGGCCAGAGGTCACCATGCGTGGTCTGGAGGCCTCATCTGACTCCCAGATGTGTTTTGTTTGGCTCACGAGGTCTTTCGTCCATTTTTTTAAAATTGAATTAGTTGCCAACATCTAAAGATTGGGAGATTTCACAGAGTTCTGGGTCCCTCGGGGCTTCAGAAGTTCGAGCCACGTCGGAATCACGTTCACCCAGAGCCAAGGCCAGGCTGGAGCTGAGAAACACCCACCTCTTCAGCCGAGGCATGACGTTCCCCCTTCAGCCCCAGTCTCCTCGTGTCCGTACCCCCTCACTCCTGGCCAGTGTTCCTCACCGAGGTAGTCGGCCCACCGCTGAGGGGGGAGGGGGTTGCATTGAAAAGCCCTGCTGTAGATTGTTCTGGTCCGTGAGATCCACCCAGTCACAGCTAAGCAGATGGACTTCGACCAGAGGTAAACACCCGCCTCCCAGTGGTGTGATGCGGGCTCTCCTCCCAATCTCTCCCAGCCGGGGCCTGGGACGGAGGTGATGCAGCCCCCCCCCCCCCCCCGCCCCCTGGAAGGCTCCCGCACCCTCTGGCTGCTGAAAGCCACCTTCCTGACCGTGCCCGCTGGAGGCAGCCACGGAGAGCCCCCCACCCTGCAGGCAGGCGGAGGGAGAGCGGGGAAACGGCCCCGCCCGGCCATTCCGGGCTGGAGCTCCGAGACTCTAGCTGGGGACTCAGTTGCGAGGGGACAGCGCCGTGGACCCGGGCCTCGGCTCTCGGCCTGAGGTCGCACAGACAAACCATCGCGTTTGGAAAGTTCTCCTGACATTCCTGAGCTGGCCGCCTTGCCAAAGAAAACTTGAGCGAGGCTTATCTTGGCATAGACTCAACCCCCAGCCTCAGCAGGAAAACCAAAAACATTTACACAGCTGGGCCCCGACGCCCGCTCCCCTCAAAAGTTTGTCAGGGCTCCGGCGGCCCGACCAACTTGGGGGCCACCTCTGGAGGGGCCTGTGTTCCCGAGCGCGGCCAGGCAGGGCCCGGCCAGACAGAAAACATCGCAGCCATCCCCGGGAGGCATGGGCGACAGAGCTAGAAAAGACAAGCTGGCAGGGGCCCGGGGGGCTGGGGCTGGGTCCGGCCCTCGGTCGCGGCCCCCGACTCCGACCACATCTGCACAGGCCAGCCCGCCGCCCCACCTGTGCACGTTGGCTAGGAAAGCGGTCCCGAGAGACGGCCCGGGGACCTCCACGCGCCCAGGGCCCCCATGCTGACAGCTTTGAGGGACAGCCTCTTCACCACTCTCTCTTTACACTCAATTCCCCTGTCTCTTTTCCTGGCTGCCTTTCCGTGGGGCCCTCCGAGGCTCTCCACATCCTCTTCCCCGTGGCCTGGCACACTGGGGGTGGCCAACCTGGCATCCCCTTCTCATGACCAAGGATTATGGTGAAGAGCTTCCCAGAGGGTGTGGTTAAAAGTCAGCGGGCCAAGCACATCCATGATGAGCTTGCCGGGGGTGGGGGCCGGGTGCCAAACTACCCACGGAGCCCCTCTCCAGTCCCTCTGCTTCTGTCCATCCCAGGCATCCTCACCCCCGTCTAGGCTGGCATCATCTCCCACCTGGGTGCCTCCTCTCTGGCCTCCCGGCCTCCACACCTGACACCAGAGTCCGTTCTTTGGGACAAAGGCAGCACGACCTTTTTTTATCATCTCAACTCCAAAATACGACTCGCACTCAGCAAAGGGCAGAAAACACAGTTTCGTACAATTTCAGGAATCATCAAGCAAACACCTACGTAACTACCAAACCAGTAACAGAAACTCAGAAGTACCTGCTTGCCCCTCCCCGCAGGAGATTGCTTCACTCTCCCAACTTTGGTGATCATTGTTTCCTTTGGTTTTCTTTAGACCTGAAAGCAGCGTGGTTTTAGTTTTACCTCTGCCTGGATTTTATAGAAACAGGATACTAATGGTGGTAGCATTAATGACATCATTATGATTTTTGTGTCTGGCTCCTTCCCTTCAACAGCACCTGGTGGGATTCACCCTTGTTGTTGCAAGGAACTATCGCTTATTCATTTTCACTGCTGCCTCATATCCCATTGTGTGACCATGTCAGTGTTCCTCTACTTTATTTACTATTGATGCATTTTGGGTCATTTCCAGCTTGGGGCTATTTTTTTTTAATTTTTTTTTAATGTTTTATTTATTTCTAGGAGAGAGAGAGAGACAGCATGAGGAGGGGAGGGTCAGAGAGAGAGGGAGTCACAGACTCTGAAACAGGCTCCAGGCGCCGAGCTGGCAGTCAGCACAGAGCCCGACGCGGGGCTCGAACCCACGAACCGCGAGATCATGACCTAAGCGAAAGTCAGACGCTCAACCAACTAAGCCACCCAGGCACCCCAGCTTGTAGCTATTTTAAGACTATAAATAATCTTATCTTCTGGTGCCCCCATGCACGCCACGTAACAAGTTTTGCAGTCACAGACAGGTTCTGTGATCAAACACAAGTTCAAGAAAAGCTGCACTACCCCGAACTACAATTGCTTGTTTTCCTACAGGACTTGTCAGGCATGTTTTAATGCCTCACCGTGCCTGGGGGCTCTTCACAGGCACTGCCTGCTTGTGCCAGCCCCTGATGAGGCAAGGCTGAATAAACCCGCCTTAGGGGGTAAGTGGGGCAGATAGAAAGTTCTAGCCTTAAAAATCTGGTCATGGTGCCTACTGCTTCCTGACTTGCTGTGCAGACTTGGGCAAGTCCCTTGCCTTCTCTTAGCTTCTGTTTGCTCATCTGCGAAATGCAAGTTGAGAAATTGCGTCTCCTTGAGAAGCTTGCCTCTCTGACACTATAATACTCACCTATAGTTGTTTCAATCAGCCTGGAATATTTGGGGGAGGGGCAGCATTTGACCTCGGTCTTGGGGGTTTACACCCTCCTGGCAGAGGAGTGAGGGAGGAGGGGCAGCGTGGCCACATGAGTGGGATGTGGAATGCCCAGGGCTAATTCAGGGGAAGTAAGGAGAGCAGCGGGCCTGCTACGGAGGGTTCATGCAGCGGAATATAGAAGAAAACTGTGTATAACTACCAAATCACTTTTTTGCCAAGCCTATGCTTACCCCTGCTCCACCGTGGGAACCACCAGAGGCAGGCAGAGACCTTGTGACCTAGAGCGTGCATTCTCATCAGAGGTGAAGTTCATTCCTTGGGGTGAAAAAATCTTACATATATACATACCGTCCGTAAGTAAATATCTAATATATCTGCAGTATGAAAATGTCACAGGTGGAAGAGAAAGACAGACAGGGGAAAATTCTAAAAGGGCTCCTTAGTAGGACAGTCATTTTTAAAAGGCTGGGGAAGCCTGATCTATAGATGGCCAATTCAAATGAGCACAGGGGCCAGGCAGGAAACTCAGGGAGGGAAGGAGGTGGTGTGTTAGGTAGTAGGGAGAGGTGAGGAGTGTGGCAAAGTGAAATGGCTGGACTAAACGCAGTACATCCACTTTTGGTTTCTCAGATCATGGTTCGGGCCAGATACAAACCCTTCGGCAGGCCGGGTCAGCTCTGCAAGCCGCCGGCTTGCAACCTCGGGTTCAAGCAAGAAGCGTGATCAGGTCCAGCTTCCGTGGTCAATACAAAGGCAATCGTCACTCCAGCTCAATGCCAGTTGGCAGCCACCATGTGAGATCTGCACCCCCAAGTCCCCACCAACACACACACACGTACACACACACCACTCCAGTGGCTTCTTCAAGCTTCCTCCCCAGATCGGATCCGAAGCCTTGTTCCATCATGCGCACACATGCATATTATGGGGATTAATGCTGCATGATGCATAATTAATGATACTGAATAAATATGCAGATTGGCAATCACTGATTGACTGCTATGATCAGATTACTGAACACGGGCTAATTGATTGGCTGCCTGTAATCACCATATTCCACACCGTTTTCTTCAGCAGATGGGCAAACCATTCCTGGTGAGGGCCGGGGATGGGGGGTGGGGGTCACCCCATGGCCTTGTCAGTTCTAAGAGACACAGACCTGTTGCTGGAAACTTTTCTCGTTGGTCCGTGGATGGCGCCGTCTGCCCGCGGGCTCTGTTTTGTCACTGGGGACAGTGGTGTGCCAGCACGTGAACCAGGCACTTTACAGTCACCTGGGAAGTGTAATCATCACCGATTGGCAGACACACAAAGGGCCACAGAGAGAGGGCTTTTTGCTCAGGGCCCCGGAGCTAATAGAGGAGCCAAGGGGGTGGCTCAGCTCCCAGAACAAGAGTTCGTGGGACCCAGGTGCAAGCCACCTAGCATTGTGACCCAGCTTCAAAAGTTCCAAACTTCTGATTGGTCAAAGCAAACTATAAGCCCCGCCCAGAATAAAATGGAGGTTCAAGGACCCCATCTCCTGACCGCAGGACTGGCAGAGAGTTTGCCACAGTCTGCAGGCGTCTGGAGGGCTCAGTCGGTTAAGCGTCTGACTCTTGCTTTTGCTTCAGGTTGTGATGTCACAGTTTGTGAGTTCGAGCCCCACATCAGGCTCTGCACTGACAGTACAGAGCCTGGTTGAGATTCTCTCTCCCTCTCTCTCTGCCCTTCCCCAGCTTGCACTCTCTCGCTCTCTCAAAATAAATAAATAAACTTTAAAGAAAAGAATTTGCAACCATCTTTACCCCAGCATATCCACCCACCTACTCTCTTAAAGATACTTGCAAGAACAAGATCGAAGGGCTTTAGGTCCACGCCTGCCACTGGAGATTCTGGAAGTGTGAGTCTAATCATGGTGTCACCAACCCCCAGCTGTGACCACCCAGCCCTGTGCGCTAGTCCATTTTATTCCTAGAACGTGCCCCCCACTCCTCCTGCCCCAGGGCCTTTGCACTCACAATTTCCTCTGCCTGGGATGCTCTTCTGCCCACCTTCCTTAATCTGGCTGACTCTTCACCGTACATCTGCTCTTGCCTGAAGCATCACCTCCTCCAGGAAGGCTTCCTGGACTGCCAGAGCAAACTGGTTCCTTTGTCAAATGTTCTCTCTCCGTTAGCCTAGTGGCTCTCCCTCACTGCCAGCACTAGCACCTAACACACACGTTTCCTCTGGGAAATGTCTACCAGGATGCTCTCCGTGGAAGAGCAAAAGGCCTCGGGGACAGAGTGAGAGCCATTTGTTTCAGCAGGGACAGCGTCTGCTGTGAGCACTGGGGCTAAATCAGCAAGAGCCCCGAGGCCCAGATGATCCCCTTGGGGACTCGGTACCTCTCCACACACCATTCCTGAGCCCAGGAGCCAGGGTGCATTTGAAGAAAAGCCTGTGCATCGTGTTCAGGCAGCAAGCGGGCTTGTGCCCCGTACAGCTCAGGGGGCTCAGAACATGTCCTTCCACAGGAAAAAGTGCTCTGTATGGCAGTCGCGAGCTTGGGCACCATCGAGGGGTGCCTACCAGCTCCCAGCTCCCCACCGCCACCCCATAAGGCGGGCACGGGGGTAAGCCCGGGGTACAGGTGAGGAAACAGGCCCAGGCAGGGGAAGTGACTGGCCTTAAGTTACCCAGTTCATACGTCATGGATGGACTGTGGTCTTTGGGGTTTTGGGGAATGGGGCGGGGCACAGACCTAGGGTCATCATGGGCTAGCAGAGGGAATAACCACCACAGGAAAAGCAGTGCCTCCCAAGTTACACGACCACACACATGCACGCGCACACACACACACACTCATACATATATGCACTCTCTCTGCATCCAGCCCCACATGCTTACAGGCTCATCCTTATGTGTCTGATTCACACACAAACACACTCATGCATGCACACTCACACTCACATGCTCAGTCACGTGTCCACATGCATCCTAGCACTCAAACACACTCATATCCTTACACGAGTCTGCATCAGCCACACAGCCGCACACTTGCTTGCACGCTAGTACTCACACAGTCACGCCTGCATTCCCACACCATCACACTCTTATACGTTCACACTCACACATTCTGTGGCTTCCAGAAGCATCCTCTGTCCGGCAGTACCGTGCCAGCACATGAAGCGATGGCTGTGGTCGACAGCACTCTGGACAGAGGGTGGGTGCAATGGCTTACCATGTATGGCACCAGGGACCCCTCAGCCCTGCATCCGGGCAATAGGCACACAGCACCCTGGACAGAGGGTGGGCGCAATGGCTTACCATGCCTGGCACCAGGGACCCCTCAGCCCTGCATCCGGGCAATAGGCACACAGCACCCTGGACAGAGGGTGGGCGCAATGGCTTACCATGCCCGGCACCAGGGGGCCCCTCAGCCCTGCATCCGGGCAATGGGCACACCCAGAGTGAATTTCTGCATCCCTCCGGCTCCCTCCGTTGCCTGCTCTGGTCCTCCAGGCAGACAGGATGGACTCCTACATAAGTGCTCAGGCTCAACAGCCTGCCCCAGCCCCATTCTGTCACTTCCCCAGGCAAGTTCATCACCTCTGCTTGGCTTCAAAGAACCCACTTCAAGGGGCTGAGTCCGAATGAGGAGATTCATTGGAGGCACTTGGCATTTGCCTACCACAAAGCTCTCAGTGAACGTCAGCCCTTAGGTGTCGTGAATCGTTATTCTTTGCATTATTATTTTGGAAGGTGGCTCCTATTTGGCAGTGAGTGTTGCAGAGGGGAGGCAGCAGGTACTCCTGAAAGTGAGCTTTGGCAACTGTAGAAAGTGGACGGAGAAGCCAGAGTAACCAGAGAACACGGAGGTGGGGCCGTTTTAGCCATGGCACCAACGAGTGGCCTCGCAACACCCTCAGGGACACCGGAGGGCCACACCATGACACCAAAGAGGGATTACCCCGGGCTGGTCCCACTCCTTCCGCTGAGGCCGGTCACACCTCCGCCCTTGTGGGAGCAGCTAGGGCCAGCTCACCCCCAAACATGAGCCTGGCTTGATTCCAACAGGTGCCAGTGCAGAAATAAACAGAAACGCCACCAAGAGCCTCGGACAATTTCCTTGGGCTGTCCTTCAACTATGTAGAATAGAGAAGGGACCAGAAGACACGATTAAAGCAACGTATGATTCTCCATAAATAATAAATCAATAACCGTCGGTGATTCGCCCATCTCTCTTCAACTGGGTTTAAAACAAAAAATTAAATATAGAACAAAAGGAACTATAAAGGAAATACAAGGAGCGGCGGGAGAGAGATTTTCCTGCTGTTTCTTGCCTTAAAAAAAAAAACAAAACCCTCCCAGGGAACCAGTGTTGGCTGAGGGGGAGGCCTGGGTGGCTCTGTGGGGGGTCATCGTGCAGGCATGCCGCCTGACTAAACACTCCCCCTCCCCAAACCACAGCTTTCGTGCCACATGACAGAGGAGGGAGCCACCCAGAGCGGGGCTGGGGGCTGTGAGGGGCCGGCCCAGCTCCGGGCACATTGGACCAGACTCCAAGCTCCACCATATTACTGGCCACGTGACCTCGGGCTTTGCCACCTCTAGGTTCCCCACCTGCAAGATGGGACACCATGTCCATCCTCCTGGGGCCGTTGGGAGGGTGGACGGAGATCTACCAGAAGGGTCTGGAGCCGTGGAAACAACTAGTGAGCTCATCCAGTCACGCGGTGTTCTGGTCGGAAACTGCTGCCATTTTTGTTCCAGGCATGTCCCCCCTGGGTCCCCTGCCTTCCGTAGCCTTTCATGGTGCCCACTGGCTCCGGAGTTCACCTGCTGACCCCCAGAGGGTGAACACCCCGCCACCTCACTGCGTTCCTGCCACCGGGGTTTTCTTGAACACCTATTATGTGCATGCCAGGTGAGGCCTCCCTCTGCCTGCCAAGCTCTGAGCTTTCCTCTCTCACAAGATGGCAGAGGAGGGCTGGGCGGTGAAGAGGAAGGGGAGGGAGGGTGGTTCAGGGGCCCAGCCCCTCGTTCAGCCACCCTGCTGTCCGGGAAAGCCCCTCTCCTTCCCGGGCTCCGGACACTTCCTTGGCCAACAGCCTCAGACCTTCAGTCCCGGACACCCCACAGCCACGGGCTGCCCACATGCCTGATTTGTCATATCCAATGGCTGCCCCCTCCTCAGACCCACGCCCTTGACCAAGTGACCTCACAGTGCCCTCTCCTCTGACTCTGGGCTCAGCGACTTGCTTGGCCATCGGGCTGCCAACACTTGTGTGACTGGGCTCGTTCTCGATTTTGTGCTTCGGCCGAGGCCATGCACACACGCTCCGGCTGGCCTGCCAGAGGGCGGGGCATGTGGAACCGAGCCAAGCCCCCCAGCCATCCCATGAAGCCAGCCCGCTCCAGGACCTTGAGCAAGCCCAGCCAAGGTTGACCGTGCCATGCAGGGAACAGCTGACCCCCCGCTGAGTAAAAACTGATCACTGAAGTCCGCTGAACTTTTGTGACCACTTGTGACGCAGCATTACTGGGGTCGTAGATTACCGATACACTCTCCAACTCCTCGCACTTGATATGTGCCCACCCTAAACTCACTTTCTTTGTCCCCCAACTGTCCGCTGAAGCTGCTTCTCACTGAATGCTTCTCCCTTCTACCCAGAAGCCCATGCCAGCAGTCTGGGCATTACCCTCAACTTGCCTCTGGATAACCTTCCCCCTTACAGGTGCTGTGCTATAAACTCCACTCCTAAACATCGCTGGCCTCCAACTCCTCTCTCCTGAACGCCTGGCTCTCATACTCTCCTACTCCGTAGCCACCCACTGGAACTAGTCTCCCCCATCCAGACCCATCCCTGCCAACTATGTATCCATCCAGCCTCCAGGAACGATTTTCTAAAAGGGATTCTACTTAAAACCATCCACCAGCAGGGGCACCTGGGGGGCTCAGTCGGTTGAGCGTCCGACTTCGGCTCAGGTCGTGATCTCACAGTTTGTGGGTTCGAGCCCTGCGTCGGGCTCTGTGCTGACAGCTAGCTCGGAGCCTGGAGCCTGTTTCAGATTCTGTGTCTCCCTCTCTCTTTGACCCTCCCCTGCTCACACTCTGTCTCTGTATTTCTCAAAAATAAATAAACATTGAAAACAAAAACAAAAACAAAAACCATCCACCAACAGCCAGAAATGCACTCTAGCCTGGCTGCCGCTCCTTACCCCCCGACACAGACTCCTATTTTACTCCCTTAAGTATCCTTTCCCCCAGCACACAAAACCACCACACCCTTCTCTGCAAGCACCATCATCTCTCAGGACTCTGTGCCTTTGCATATGCTGTTCCCATGGCCCAAAAAATGCTTTTCCCTGCCTCTCTCATGTTGGTAATTTCTATAAATCTTCATCAGGGACTGAAAGCGCCACCTCCAG